GGGCCGCGCGGGGCTCCCCTAGGGCGGCACCGACAGCCCGGGATGACCGGGGTGCTCGGGGAGACAGAATCCCGGGGAGACACAGTCCCGGTGTGCTTGGATGGACAGGCAGTCCGGGGGGTACAAGGTCCCGGGGCCCTCAGGGGGACAGGGAGCCCAAAGGAAACACGATTCCGGGATACAAGGGGTTCGGAGTGCTCGGGGGAACGGAGAGTCCGGGAGGGGACGACATGGTCCTGGGGTGCCCGGGGGCACAGGGGTGCTCCGGGGATCGGGGAGACTGGGGGGGAGATGGTCCTGGGGTGCCCAGGGAGCTCAGGGCTGACACGGTTCCCGGGGGACTCTGTGCACCCCAGGGGAACAAGCTCGGGTCAGCATTGTGCCCTGGAGGGCCACGGGTGTGTCAGGACCCCCAGGTGGGACACAGGGGTGGCTGTCAGAAGGTCCCAGTGGCTCTGCCCAGAGGGCTCTGCCAGGATCCCGGGGTGAGTGCAGGGTCTGGGCACGTTGGCACCCGCTGGCCCCGCTGCGATCATCGGCAGGAGCTGTCGACACGCAGGCACACGAAATCACCGCTTCCCCGAAGCTGCCTGCACGGGCAATTCATTTCCAGGCCGGCTCAGCACGGGGGTTTCCAGGCCGGGGAGGCAAAAGCAAGGCCAGGGCAGCTGCAGTTTTGTGAGGGGATCCGTGGGGGGCTATTCTGATCATGCCTGCTCCTTGCCTCATGTGCCTTACACCCCCATCACCAAGGGCTGCCAGCCGTGCCGGGACTTGCTGCTCTTCCCAGGGGTAAGAGAAGATGCTTCATACCAGCTTATCACAGGGATTTGCCCCTCGAGGGCCCAACTGCCCTCGGGTGGCAGGGCGGCGGGTCCCAGCCGCGTACACCGACTTCCCCTCACGCCTAGCAGGGCGCTGCCTCACGCTGCCTCGGAGACTTTGGTCCCAGGAGGGGCTGAACACACCAAAACTAGGCTCCCCTCGCCTGGGCACCTGGCCAGCCCCAGCCCCGCATTGTGCAAAGCCCGCGGTTAGGCTGGCCCCACGCCTTACCCAACAGCTCCTTCCCCCGGCTGCACGTCTCCCGACTCCGTTTCGACATCAGCTGGTCCCAGCCAGCTCGTCCCAGGGTTTTCGCCACTTCCACCCTCTTGCCAGCGCAGCCCCGGCTGCTTCACACCGCTTCCCGGCGGCTTTCCCAGCCCTCAAGCAGATCTCCGGGGCTGGACTGCACCGCACCCAAACTTGGATAAAACAGCCCCCCAACCGGTTTGGCCACTTGCCCTGGCCCAAGCAGACACAAAGTGACAAGACTTAACTTCGGGTCCAGATAATGTTTATGAGCAAAGACAAGCGATTACACTCTGGCAGGAGCATAAATACAGGAGCAGAGTCCTTGCGTTAGCCCTGCCAGGCCCTTCCCAGCTCCCTCGGTGTCACCCCGGTGGCTCTGCCCCTCCTTGCACAACCCACCAGACAGACCCCAACATGGGCTCAGGCTGTGCCCCAGCCCCACACCAGAAACTGGGGGCGGCCAGGGAGGAGGCAGCCATTGTGCAGCAAGCTTAAGGGGCTGGGATTGGGGGGCAGGTGCCCCTGCACCGAGTGGATGACCCTCCTTGGGCTGGGGGGGCACTAGGGCCTTGTGCCAGCAGAATCTGCTCAGGGCTGTGCATGAGCTGCCCCTTTAGGGTCTCTTGCCCAGGAGCCATCACCACAAGCCCACAAGCACCCCTATGGGCACCCTGGTACCCCAAATTCCTCTGGGGCTGTTCTGTGTCCCCGTGTGGAGGTGGGCAGGACCCTGCTGCCCTGGCCAGGGCTGGCTGACACACCACCCTGCCTGTCAGCATCCCCAGGGACAGCCACAGTGGAAGGGGTAAAACATGCCAAGGCAGGGCTCCAGCGCTGCCTGGCACATGGGGAGCCCAGCTCCCCCAGGGCAGGGAGAGGAGGCCAGCCCTGTCCCCCACCTGGATGGTGTCACCCACCCTCTGCAGGCACAGCAGCAAAAAGGTCCTCCAGAGTGCTGCCATGTGTCTCCCGGGAACCTCCCAATCCTTGGCACAGCCACAGGATGGCTGAGACGAGGGTGCCACAGGCACCAGGACCCAGGGGCTCAGCTCCCCTCCGGTGACCCAGGGTACCAGTAGCCCTGCTCTAGGGCCCCCACAATGAGGGACAGAGAGGAGTTCACAGAGGAAGGGCAGCCCTCCTAGCTGGGGGGCATTGCCTGCAGATGAGAGAAAGTTCTCACCCCTTCCACAGGCAGCTGTCCACCTTGTCTTGAACACCCAGGTTGGACACGCCCATGGGTGGGTCCCCTCCCTGTGCTCTGGGGTCCCACCGTGCCCTCTCCCTAGGACTCACAGCCCAGGCTTCCCCAAGGGAAGGACTCCCCAGCTGGCACCATGCCCTGGGTGATGCCTGTCAGTATGTCTGGGGTGTGAGGATGAAGAGACGGTCTTCCTCCTTGCGGATCCACTTCATGAGCTTGTTGACAGCACTGATGGCACCAGCCTTGGTCCCCAGGGGACTGTAGCATACATAGAGCTCGAAGGCGCTGGTCACCTGGGTGAAAAAGCAGGGTATGGGCTGGGCACATTTGCACCGCGCTTGGGGCTGGCACTGCATCCTCCCCCCATGGACACTGTGAACAGGCACAGGGGCTCCAGGACAGGGATGTGGAGTGCCAGTGTGGTACCCTAAATACCTGGCAACTGGTTTGCTCACAAGTCGGGAGACCAAGGCCCAGGGGATGCCCCCAGAGTGGGTTTTCTCTGTGGCACTAGGGGAACTCACAACAGAGCCTTGCGCTGGCGCTCACCAGCCCCCTGCTGCTATCCCTGCCTGGCAGAGGGGTGCAGAGAAGCAGCCTGGCCACCAAAAGGATCATGTATGAGCTGAAGGCCACCCTGGGGACCAGAAAGCTGGTGCTGTATTGTGCCACCCACCCCTTACTCCACTATGCAGGACCAGAGAAGACAGGTTCACCAAAATCCTGCAGATGGCCCTTACCCACGCCAGAAGGTTCTCCCGGGGGCCCGTGAAGTAGATGTTCTTCAGAGGTCGTGAAGAATTGTGAGCCCGGCTGTGGAGGTACTGGTAGAGACCCAAGAGCCTTTCCTTCTCCTCCTCCAACACATAGGGTGCCTCAATCTCTGGGCTGGAGGAACACAGAACCCCACTAGCCCCCTTGGAAAAGGGGGTTCATGGAGAAGGCTTGCCCCACATCCCACATCATGGCCTTAGCCTGACGGCTTCCCAGCTGCCTCACCTGGTGAAGAGCCCAGAGCTCTTGGACTTGTAGATGAAGTGCCGGAGGTCGGGGATGCCCACCTGGGCAACACTGTAGAAGGGGACACGCAGGGCCTCCTGCAGGGCGTGGTGCACCCCCCGCCGCCGCAGGCGCTCCTGGAAGCGCCGCTTGCAGTCGGAGACGGTGAAGAAGTCCTCACGGTCAGTGGAGACCAGCAGGAGGCACAGATCCATCTCCTGTTCCAGGTAGGAGATGTGGGCATGGAAGAAGCCACTAGAGTTGAACTTAGGGAGGCAAATAGGAGTCCAGGCTTCACCCTCCCGGAAGGAGGAAGAAGAGCTGATGAGGTTAAAGAGCAGATGGAGATCAATAGGGTGGAGGAACTGATCCTTCTTCCTCACAAGAGACACAAGCTGGTTCCCTGATAGGAGGATAGAGAAGACCAGGCTCTTGGCCTTGGCCTGCTGGAGGCTGGTGCTGACAGCGTCCCGGACGCTGGCGGCCAGGGGCAGGCAGCGCACGGCGCCCATCAGGAAGCTGGGGTCATGGGCCATGAGGTCCAGCAGGTTGTCGGTGATGCGCTCAGAGCCAGCCAGGAGCCTGCGCAGGTCATAGTTCTGCTTCTGCTGGAAGATGTGGTTGAGCTGGGTCCAGGTAAGCAGGCTCAGGATCTGGTAGTAGATGTAGAGCAGCTCGTGGGCGATCTCCTGCTCCGACTGCTGGGTCCGCGCCACTGCCACCAGCACCAGTGGGCTCCTCCGCACAAAGACCACCTTGTAGCCATCTGCTTGGGAAGGAGTCCCCAGGGAGGAACCGGGGACAGACCTGTAAGTCTGGTTCCCTGAGGCTACAGCTGTCCCCTCTTCCCACCAATCTGCCCCCAGCGAGACCTAATGTGGCCCACAGTGGCATGGGCATGGACAGGCAGACTGTGACATCCCCCAGACCCACCACCCCCAGGGCAGTACCTGCATGGATGGACCGGATGGCATTTTTCTCAGCCTCCAGGAAGGACACCAAGGCCATCATGACACCCATGGTGCTGGAGAGGGCCTCCTCAGAGCCGTAGCGGGAGTACACGGGCTTGCCCGCCTCACTCAGCACGAAGACGTGCTTCCGGTGCATGCGCCAGGCGTCCATGGTCACATCCTCCTCCTCCTTGCTCGACAGCACTGAGTCGCGGCGGGTGGTTTGTGGGGACGGCTCCAGCTTCCCCTCCTGGCTCTGCCTCATCTCCTCCTCCAGGTCGAGGGCCATGCCCGTGAGCTGTGTGCTCAGCTCGCTGAAGTCCTTGCTGATCTGCTCCATGCTGGTCGGCTCAGCCGGCTCCCCCTGCCTCTCTTCTGGGCTCCGCGTCGCGGCTGCCCCGTCCTCGGGACTTGTCAAGTCCTCATAGGAGCGGGTGTGCACGAACATGGCTCCCTCCTGGCCCGCCCCTGGGAACAACGGGCCATGCAGCTTCCATCTGCGTGTCCCCTATGCTGAGGCAGCAGGCAGACAGAGGGGACAAAAGGGACAGGGGGGTGCAGGAAGGGACCTGTCCCCCTCTCCCCATCCTGCAGCACCCAGAAGTGCAGGTGCTACTGGTGGGGAGTCACCAGTGGGCCTGTGTCCCACTGCCCACAGGGCTTTGGAGGGCCCAGCCCCTATAACGAGGGGCTGCTTTTCCCCCTCGCTTCCCCCTGCAAGGAGCTCTGTCCCATACCTGGCTCTGTCCCCTGTGCCAGCCCGGGTGTGGGGCTCTCGGACCGCTCCGTGTGCTGCCCATCTCCTGGTGCCAGGGACCCATTGGGCACTTCCCAGCCTTTCTTCTTGTGGACATCTGCAGCCATTCCTCAGGGCAAGACCTGCATGCGACCCACAGCCTCACCCCTCTGTTCCCTTACCCACAAAACAGGTCCTGAAATGCTCTGCTTTCAAGTGAGGCCACTCCAGCATCCTCGGCCCAATCGTGCCGCCTCAGCAGGCAGCACCAAGCCCTGGTGAGAGTCAGGAAAGCCGCTCTAATCCAGCAGAATTTCCTCCACCCCCATGGCCCAAGCTCCTTTCAGCTCCCCAGTCCCAGCACCTTTTATCCAGGCTTGGCCCCGATTTCCCCTGAGCTCTGGGAAAGCCGCTCAGCCTTCCCAGCAGCCAGGTGGAAGGGAGCCGGCCCTGGATGGGGCTGGCCCCACACACTGGCGATTCCAGAGGGCCCGATGTTTGCTAAGGGCGGGTTTTATGGCTCTCCTCAGCCCGGATTAGGTGGCTGAGATGAGACCAGGCTGGTGACGTTTCCTCTTGAGGTCACGGCAGCCCAGATGGTGTGAGCCCCGAGGAGCCGAGTGCCCTCTCCAGCCCCTGCCCGGCGGGTCAGCCCTCCTGGGCAGAGCCTGCTCGTCGCTCCAGCCCAAGCTTCTCTCCCCAAAGGGAACACCAGCGAAGGCAGCAGCAAGAAGGCAGGCTGGCCGGGGACCCTGCACCCCTTTGCTGCCGGAATCTCCCCCGTCTCTGAAAGCAGC